CGTGATTAATGGGTATTATTAAGGTCGAGCAAACAGACGTATAATGGGTACATTATACAATAGTCGTGGATAAAAACTATTAATCTTAGCAAAACAGTTCAACAGACGATTTGATAGATAGAGAAACTCATCTTTTAAATTAGACTTTATAAGTTAAAATTGCTATATAAACAAAAAAGTTATTGCAAAAATAAACGGAAAAAAGTGCTTTTTCTTTAATTGTTAATAACTTTTTAAATATTTAATAAAATCTTACCAAACTTTCCCAAAATGTGAGTTTTTATATCCTTAAGAGATTTGCAAAAGATGGGCTCAATCGGTCAAATAGATATTGCAAAATTCCATTTATTTATCCCATTTTTCCAAAAAGGCCCATTTTCAAATGGGCCTTTTCCGGGGGCAGGGTTATGACTAAAACATATTCTTTTTGGGCTCATTTTCTTCGAAAGGACACCAAGTATCCTTTAGTTAAAAAGAAGTTAATTTTTTTTCAAATTTAGTTGTATATAATTGTTACCAATTAGAAGGCACTTTTTCCCTAATAAACAAAATAACTCCAGTTTTTAACTTTTGAAAGAAGTTATATACACCATTCGAAAGCTCGTAAAAAAACCTACAAATTGAAAAAAAAACTAGTTTCTACGACCAATATAGATCCGGAGTTAGAAATTTTTTTTTAAATCACAGCAATTTGTTATAAACACTAAAGTAAGGGTACACGGCAATAGCCCTTCAGGGAGTGGTGGTGGGGAGATCCCTAGACACAGAATATCCTGTAGTTAGGAGGATATTCTGTGCCCTAGATAATATTGCTCACTACCAAGATCACTACAGCGCGCCGCACGGAAGCGGGCGGGAGCGCGACCGAGCGTTTTTTTTTAGTATAAACTCACTACAGCGGATCGAAATCTTTGCATCAACCGATAGGGACAGTTCAGTTCAGGCTAAAGTCAGTTTAAAATGAAGGCATCCGATGAAGAAGATGCTGTTGTTGTCACTATTTTGTGTGCAGAGGCAGAAAAAGACGCGAAAAAGGAAATGTTGGGTACATAACATATGTAAAAACGTAGAGTTGAAACGAGTTCTATACGCTATTTCCCGATCTCACCGATGATGAAATTAAATTTCATCAATACTTCCGGATGCCACATGAAAAATTTATGAATTTGTTGGAGGACGTGTAACATACTAATAAATACATATTCTTATCAACCAGACTTAGGTTTTTTAGGGTATATTCGTCTATAATGGTATGAAAATTGCTTATTTTGATTGCTCGCTATCGCCCACTAATCGGAAACGGACTGAACGGCAGCGTACCGCATTGCGGAAATATTCCTCAGGCAGGATTCTGAGACCGGCTCGCTGCTGCGGAACGCTGCTCTGGGGTATAGTGAGCGCATCTGTATTTTATTTAAAACTGTGTAATATAAATCTGCAATATAAAATATGTAATATAAAAAAATATAATCTGCTCTTCAGCGCGCTACCGTCCGCTTCCATGCGGCGCGCTCTAGTGAGAGACAACCTTAATAAAGAACAGGGCTAGTTCACAATGTTCTTATAACAGATTTTTAAGTTCTCATGAATTTGATTTTCCGGAAAATTATGAAAACTTATAAAAATGTACCTACCAGTTTGTTTTGTGTACCTCTCTGGTACCTGTAATAAAATAAATATAGGGTGTTTGGAAAAGTTGGTACAAAATTTAAGGTGAAAGTAGAGCAAGGAGTAGTAAAAAAAGTTTCTATTGGTCCTCCGGAGCACCGTTACCGAGATATTGTCTGGTCTTATCATTTGGATATTTTTTTTTACTCCTTTGAATTATCAAGCAAATATTATTTTTTAATGAAGCTCTTTTGAAGAAAAAATGTCTACCTTTTTCGAATTCTGCAGTTTAGTAAGAAATAATTATTTTATTAATTTATTCTCCATATTTACTTAAACCGTATAGTTGCAAAATTTTTTTTGTCTAATTTAGATTTTACTTGATCTTGTCCAAAATTTTTTTATTAATATTGTTTTGGCCACAATATGGGTTTTAAACTAAAGAATACAAGGAATTATATAAAGCAATTTTATTCAACAAAATTCTGTATTTCGCACTTTTACAAAAAAAATTAGGTAACTAATAATAGCACTGGTGCTGAATTTGAACACAAAATACTGCAAATTAATATCATTTTCCATAGCTGAATTTGAATTCCGCAAAATATTTTGCTGCCGACTCTTTATTCAAATTTAAAAATGTGAAAAATATTTGTACAACTCATGTTCTGACCTCACATGTGTTATATAAAAATTTATTTACCTCAGCCGGTTACGATTTTATATATACGAGATCAGAATATCAGTTTGTAAGTTTCATGCTTTATTCATATTTTCTTAAGACAAAAAGTTGTAAAAGTTTACCCCCACAAATACAAATGATACCTTACTAATTTAGATTTATTTTATAGAAAATATGTTGAGATGAAACAATATAGATAATAATTAAATATACAGGTAAAATAAATTATACATTTACAGTATTCATTTTACATTCAAGTTTTTAGGCAACAGACATTAAAATAAATATAACAAAAATAATTACCTATAGAGTTTCACTGCAATTAAATCTTAATCAAACCATTTATTTAACAGTCCTGTTGTAAATGTTTATTGAATAGAAAATTATATTTTATTCAGTCGATGTACTGAGCCAACCAACGAAAACCTTCTCCGTATCCCTGTCTTTTCAAAATGGAACACATGAATAATTCTAATGGACGTCCGGGGAGATCCGACCTTGCTACTTTACCCTATTAAAAAAAAGAAAGGAATTACATTTCATTTCTTACAGTAGTATTCAATTAAAAACTTATTTTAGTTACAAAATTTATAGGTGTCCCAATATTCTGTGGTTTTTCATATTTTCCAAGGAAATAGGCAAAGCGCAGTTAGATGTTTCAGATGTTCCCCAGAATACTAATCGGAAATTAATTTTTTTCAAATCATAATCGGTAATAATTAATTTTTTAAACTACACTTTAACTCTTGTCTACACCACCACTGGGCTGCACCCGGCAACAATTGTGTCAATGTATTTTTCAGTGTTGCCAATTGTTATCTTTTTCAGCCAACTGTATGAAACTGATACAGTGGTGAAGCGAAACTGCAACATGTTATTTATTCACTGAATTTATTTGCAACATAAACAAAGCTAAAATATCAACTAATATTGATACATGAATATCTTATGTGAAACTAATTTATGTTTTTAAATTATCCTTTTTGTTGTTTTATAAATAAAACATAAATAAAAATACTTGCTAATCTGATAAATTTGAAATATGTTTAACAATTATTCAAATTTTTTAATAAATAATATTTGTTATACAGTACTGTGTTTAGTTTGTGAATCTCAGTGTCAGTGACCTCCAATTTCGACGTAATTTAAGTGAACTATGCTACAGTCACTTTACATATTCCAACCAAGTAAACAATTGCACGCAGCCCTGACAACCAAAAATTAGATGGATATTTTAAGGCCCGGTACTTTGAGTCTCGATTAAGGCTTGATTAACTAATCAGGAGATTAGACAGTGATTATACATTATAAAATAAATCAGTATTATGTAGTCTAATCGCCTGATCAGTTAATCAAGTTTTAACCGAGACTCGAAGTACCAGGCCTTAGAAAAGTTAATGGGAATCTCGGAATGAACCTAACCATTTATTTCATTACATTTATTTTAGTATTCGCTGTTTGTAATATAGCCCAGTCATTATAGACATGAAACAGCCTGTTTCAGGGAAAAAATACTATTAGAAGTTTATCTGCGCAATATTGTTCAGAAATGTGTTATAAGCAAAATATCAATTTGAGACTAGTTGGGAAACTTTATTTAAACAATAGTCAATGGAGTGGTTTTTTGACTCGCATAAAAAAACTGTTATTCATAGCGAAACAAGGTTTATACAAAAAAGGTAAGTATTAGATAAACCTGTAAAATCAAGTCCGATTAAAATCCGATAATTTGTTTATGCGGTAGAGCTCAAAAATGGTCGAAAATGACCGTTTTTTTCAATTGCTAATAATTAATGCAATTTTCATCACAGATACTTGTAATTTAGGATTTTTGAAGCTCTTTGCACTCTTAATAAATGGTAACAATTTCAGCCCGAAAGCTATATTAGTTTGGCGTTGGTGGAATTTGTTATCTAAGATGCTGTTTTCAATTCATTTTTCCCAAGCTCACAGGCGTTGTAGAGTTTCGATCATTAGTTGTCTTTGTACCTAAATAGTTGTACTGACATATGCATTTAGTGAGAATTTAATTTTTCAAATTTAATTTGTTTAAAAATGACTGAAAAAATGTCAATATTTATTAATATAGATAGTTATTATAAAATGAAATAGTAACCTCTATTGTATAGTTAGTATTCTTTTTTCTTCGAATTAAAAAAAAATCGTTCTAAGTTGATTAGAAGCTGAAATAATTTTTTTTTATTAATCGTGATGTTAATTATGAATATTAAGAGCCAAAATTTGGAGAGAGTATACATAAGAGCTTAATTTTCATGTCCTACATTAACATTAAGATGAATTCAAATATTTAATTGGAAAAAAGAAGATAGCGGGGATGCGTTCTATTACTCGGTGTAGCGAATGAGTGGGGAGAGCGAGGCGGCGCATGCGCGCCTGTTGCACGCAAAAAACTGATCAAGCGGCGTCAAATAATCAATGGAGCTGAAAAAATTAGTCATATCTCGGTTAATAATGAAGGTATCGAGAAAATTCTTTTTTTAATTTGGGGAAGCGCGAAAATTCATGAGCATTGAAGCTATTGTATTAACAAAATTAATATTCTTTCAACTCAAAATTTACAAAAAATTTGTTTTTCGAATTTTACAATACAAATTTACCTGATATTTGTAAAATGTTAACTAGATCTTTTTGTGTACTTCAATTTTTATAGTAAATGAGGCTACCAACTCCAAAGTCTGTCAGCAGTTTATCCCCTCTCTAGGATATTATGTGCCAAATTTGTACCTACTATCCGTTGGCCCGTCCTTTTGACCTGTGAGCAAAATTGAAGCGATGAAAATTGCATTAATTATAAGCAATTGAAAAAAACGGCCATTTGCGACCATATTTGAACTCTCGCACATAATTTATATAAACCAGTATTGTTTTATTACTATGTCAGCAGTGTTGTTTTATTACACCAGAAGGCAATGAAGGGTGTTTGAACAAAATTTTTGTACTGATTAAATCTCAGTTCCTAAAAACTTATTTAAATTATTGGCTAATGTTTTTTTCTTGTTAATCCCTATTTTGTCATGCTTATTGTTATGTGTTTTATTGAATTAACTACAATGTTTCATATTACGCACTTTTAATATATTTTTTTATAAGATTTTAAATTAACTGTTTTAAATATTATTTTTTTTGTGGAAACCCTTTAAATGGATTAAATATATAAGTTTTGAGCATATGCTGTAAGCATCAGATAAGTAAACAGATTATTTACTTATTTTTAATTATTTTATTTATATTTATTTATTATTATTTTATATCGTTTTAATTAAAAAAATTAAAATTTTATGTATGTATAATAGGGTTCCTGACGAATACCCACTCAATAAAAGTAACGCGCCAAAGAGAAGTGCCCCATGGATGGCTTGAAAAAAATTAACTTTTTAATAAAGCTCTGCCCTCTTTTCTATTAAATTAAGAGATTTGACAACAATGCATGCCACAATCCCCAGTTATTGCAGTTAGTAGTTAGCACGTATTGCAGCTAGCATTAGCTTATTCAATGGAGGGGTATGAAAATTACGAAAAAAAAAAGGTAAGAGAATCAGTTTTCACGACAGAATTTGAGAAAACAAAATATGTTTTCAGGGACAGTTCAGGGACAACCTTCATATGAATATGATTCCCACAGAAAATTACACCCTGTATAGTATGTGTAATGGTTGGCATACTTATACAAGGTACATCAAAAATCCGGAAAAAATTCAATTTAAAATTCTTGTCATTTTATATCATATGTAGAGGTCGCGATTGGCGTCGAAATAGCTTGAAGCATGTACTAAACAGTCATAACTTCAAAATACTTTCAATGTTGAAACCAAGTGAAGTGAACTTGACAATCGTGGCTGTATCATCTCTAAAACCGTATGTTTTCCAGCAGGATGGCATGCCCCCCCCCACAACAGTCATCTGGTGCAAAATTACATATTTGTTGGACATCGACATGTTTCCGTCCAAAGAATTCTGGTCTCCCAACAGCCCAGATTTAAATCCTTTGGAATTGTATGTATGGAGCATGGTTGAAATTGTCACCAACAAGCACACGACATCTAAACGACATCTAAATGTCGTGTCATTAAAAGCTGCTATTGAAGCAGTATTCGCCGAAATGAATCATGACTACAAACGTTTCAGACCGAGATTGGAGGTGGTCGTTCATGCAAGTGTGGAAGATACATTGACTAAATGGATGACCCTACACCTTTTTGTTTTCACAATAAAACAGTTTTTTAATTTGTCCGGTCTTTGGCGCCGTACCCGTAGTTGAGTACATTAGGGTGGCACAAAAAAAATGAATATTTTTTGTCTCGTGTCTCTTGTTAAAATATGTTAGTTTATCATGTTTTAAGAGCCTCAAAAAATCAGCTCAAAAAACATTTTTTTAGCGGTCCCTCAAGATTTTTAAAAATTTCCAAAATCGTCAAAAATATATTTTTTTTTTAATTTTTTTTCTCGTTATTTTATCATTTTCTAGGATGAAAAAAAATCTCGATTCTGAAAATTTCAAATCGATATTTTAATTTCTAAATGTCACTCATAATTATTTTAACTTTAAAAGTAGTGTACCTAAAATGTTTTCGAGCGACCACTAAAAATAAATATCAACAAACTAATAATTTTTTTTATTGAATTTGATGAACAAAAGAATAGAAATAAATCACGACAGTTAAAAAATTTCTTGAGGCAAAATTTACTACCGTACAGTGAGTATCAAATATTTATAATTTTTTAAAATTTAAGTGTCGTGATTTATTTCTATTCTTTTGTTCACCAAATTCAATAAAAAAAATATTAGTTCGTTTTGATATTTATTTTTAGAGGTCGCTCGAAAACATTTTAGATACACTACTTTTAAAGTTAAAATAATTATAAGTGACATTTAGAAATTAAAATATCGATTTGAAATTTTCAGAATCGAGATTTTTTTTCAACCTAGAAAATGATAAAATAAGGACAAAAAAAAATTAAAAAAAAAATCAATTTTTGACAATTTTGGAAATTTTTAAAAATCTTGAGCAATCTAAAAAAATTTTTGAAGGGGGTCTTAAAACATGATAAACTAACATTTCACACAAAAACAAAAATTGTTTTTTTTTGGGACACCCTAGAGCACGTCATTTTTTGACAGGATGTGGTGTTTTGGAACTTTTTCAAAAATTTGTCATATTTCACACCCTTTAATGGTTAAACTAAGAAACTTTCGATAGAGTAAGCTGAATTAAAACCACTTTATTTCCACCAGCATTATGCGATGTTTCCATGTACACGTAATATTGAGACACCTTACAGTTTAAAAAACCTAAATTATCAAGGACTACATTCAAATTTTGATAATTAATCTTCAAATCAATGGACAATACAATTATTTTCCAGTTCTATAGAAAGCAGTGTTTAACTGTATTACCTTTCCAGTAGTTTGCCCGTACAAGGCATAGAAATTTCTTAATTCATCTTCAGAAGCAGCACCTGGTAGATCAATTTTATTTCCGAGGATAAGTACTGGGCAATTAGAAAGAGTTTCGTCCGTGAGCAGGGAATCCAATTCTTGCTTACTTTCTACAAATCTAGAACGGTCATTCGCGTCTATCAAAAAGACAATAGCATCAACCGCTGGGAAATAATCCTTCCACACTCTTCTGGCTAAAATTGAGTAAACATGTAATCATCATGACAACACAAAATAAAAAAAATAAATATTATTTTTACAGATAACAAATTACGTATAAAGATGAATCGTTGAATTGATAAAATTGAAATTTTTATTGAAATAAGAAAACATGACAAGGCAAACTGAGTATGAAGAGTTTTATATTATACACTTTATCTTTCATTACAATTTGTAGCTATTTGTCATTTAATTCTCTCCTAATATATACAAGTAGATGATTAACAAAGTTATATCAAAATTGTATGTTTCACCATATTGCTAACTATATTTTAATATACTTAGTTTAGGTTCTACTATATTCTCATTTGCTAAAAAATTGCCACGGAATATGAAAATTAATATGTATTCACAGTCACTAGTGAATAGAATAATATTATTCCGATTCGTGTTATTAATTGTTACTATATAATATTTTTTATGTATAAATTTTCCAAATAAATTCCAATGTAATTCACATAATTAAAGATTTTTTGAAACGGGCACTCAATGTTTCATTATGGGAAATTTATTTTAGACTATGAGATTATGACCTACCTTGAGAGTGACCACCAAGATCAAAAGTAGTAAACCTCATGCTGCCAATTGATAATTCCTCCGAAGCTAAAACAAACAATTTTTACTATTTATACACAGCATTATACATAACTTTTTAATGGTAGTGCATCTATTAAAAATTATAAAAAAGACAGGCAACATAATACCAGAAATGTAAAAAATAGTATTAAAGTAAATATTCTTGTTTTTCCAAACAGGCCAAAATAAATTTTAAACATTGTACAATCTTATTGTCTAATTCCATGGTAAATGTATTTTTAATAGAAGATTAGACAAAGGATTTCAATATTCAGACAAAATTCTACAGGTGATTGAAATAAGAAAACAAAATTCATATGAATTTACGTCCGGAAATGCTTTGTATTTTGAGATACAGGGATAAGAGATATATGGAGAATTAATAGGAACAGGATAAAATCTCTGAATTTGTTTGAAATAATCTTCAGAACCATTCTTTTTGTGATCCACAAATTTTCTCTGAAATTTGTTTGTTGTGACAACGGTGAATCTACTTTTTTTGAGACAATACAACTTATTATAGGAAATATGTAAAACAAATAAACATAACTCCATAGTTGCAGATCTACATTCATATGATTTTTTTCTCTATTTTTGGTTAAAAAACCGTTTATACAATTTTGCCAGTGAACTCTAGTAACAACCTATATAGAGGGTGTCTTCAAAAAATTGGGAACTCGTGAAATTAGAGAGATTAGAGACCAAAATATGTCTGTCGACCGTGGCAAATATACCTTAGTTCAAATATTAATAGCTAAAAAGATACATCATGTCAAAGTTTTTATAATTTTATTTGTTGGATAATTTCTTTTAGATTTTGACTAAAATTCGGTATATGGAGGTTTTTGGGTACAAGAAATCTGCTCTTAATCAGGGTTAGATTTCTACAGGGCGCTATGTACACCACTATTTTTGTAAATAAATAATCCTAAATATTTTTGTGCCACCCTATATGCAATTACTAATCGAAAAACCATAATTGTTCATCTTTTTTGAACAAAAAAGATGTACTTGTTAAAAGTATCTAATAATAATAGTTACTGAGATATTTGCTCTTAAAAATTATTTTTTATTTCCAAGCTATGGTGAAATATTCTTTGTCAAAGTTCATCCTCAGTTTCCACAAGAGTATCGTAAACCCCTCGTTTCAATTCACCCCACGAAATCTGGTGATTTAGGCGGCTAGAACACAGGTCTTGCTCGACCTATGCATTGGTCTGGACAAACTCTATTCAAGTGGTCTCTAACTAATTGACTAAAATTACCATGGTGCATACAGTGCATACTCATGCGTGTTTGCAATGGAAGATCTTCTAACAGAGTGGGTGATTGTCATTCTTGAAATTGTAAATACCTTGGGCTATTTAATCTAGGTGGTAATTCAACACGACTATTAAATAACATCCAATTATTGCCACCCATAAATTAATTTAAAATTATACTCGATGCTGGGTGTAGTATAATGTGAGGGTTTTCGTCTCAATAAATATGAAGACTATGCAAGTTGATGAGCCTGTTTCTACAAAATCCTGCTCCTTTCAAAAATAATATTAAAGCAGCCTTGTACTTTTTCGCACATGGTGTGGATGGAGCAGTTGCTCTCAAAGTATGTTTACTGTATTATTTATAAGAAGCGTATAATCTTTGGGTTCTTAAAGAATTATGTTGTATCAATTTGCGTAATCTCCAAAGGGACTTGATTAATGAGTTCTAAAATTGTTGAGTGCATTTAATACAAAATGCATTGAAACCTTTAAAAGCAAATATTTCGCAAACTATTAATTTTATGTGGAAACCAATTATATTATTAATATAACACAGTAAATAAGTTGCAAAGGTTAATAAGGCAAAGTAGTTTTACAACATGAGTATATTAGATGACAGATCTGCAGAAAATAACATATTCAAAAGAATCATGAGATCTAATTTCATTAGTAAAACACGATGTATTATAAGCATGTTCATAAGCAAGTCTTGGCAACAGTTAGATGATATGGCAATGCAACGTTTCCTAGTTCAAATTCATAATCAGTTTCATCAAAAAATTATACTCACGTTATATTAAGAAAAAAAAGTAAAATGTCTTACTGGGATGTAATGTAGGAAGATGTTGTGCCAACCTATCGTCCTTAAGCATGTGCAATAAAGTTGTTTTTCCTGCATTATCCAACCCTAGGAAGAGTAGCTTGCCAGATTTCTTCCATAAGCCTATACAAACATGCAGAAATTTTAGTCACATAAATGAAAACTCACCATCTTCATCTTCATTGATGTTCTGTGTACAACTTATATGCTTTGTGTATGGAATGCTTTCTAATTGCATTTCTTGTAATAAACATTTAATTAACGAGGACTTTCCACAACCTGGAAGGCCTAGGAAAATATATTTGCCTCTATGTTTATACAATCCTAACAAGAAAAATAATAATAAACAAAAAGAAAAATTTTTTACATAATAACATGATCAAATAGTATAACAAGAACATATGAAAAATAATTTGTAAACAAGGTAAGAAATTTGGATTATTCACAATTCAGATTCTGATGTGTTTCTTGGGAGTTAGATTCATATAATTAAAACTGTCGAATTTCCATAATAAAGTGAAAGTGGTGGGATAAACTGTATTACAAAATTTACATCATACTTTCTCTATCGTCTATCTAATCTGAACTACCTTGCACAATTTTTTGAATTTTTAATAATGCCTTTCACTGTTGACGTTTTAGTTCAAATCATGTAGGTACGTATATGATTTTTATTACTATATTCATTTGCAATTATTTTGTTTATTGAATTTAATAATCTGAACCCAAATATATTTAGTTTTTCTTTGTACTGGAATTTCAAATTATTCTTTTCTAAATATAAAAATTTGTTACTTTTGATAAATAAAATATATTTACTGAACAATAATTCAAAAGTATTGACCACTGTGCTTTAGATGCAACGCAGTAATATTATTTCCTAAATTATGTACCTTTTTATTTATTCCTTTTATTAGACAAATATTTAAATTTGATTTGAAGTGCAGTACCTACTTTAAAGTAAAGTACTGCACTTTCATCTTATTAATATAATGATAGTCAATCACTGCAACTATAGCCACTAATATTGTGTTTTATGTAATTATTAACGCTAAAATCGAGTGTAATATTTAAAAAATAAATTATAAAATGGTCTACTAATTTTCCATATTTTCACTGAATTTAGTTAGAAATTGCCTGCATTAATTTTATTTATACAGTTCTGTATAGACAATCATTTGCTAATCTCAACATGATGAAGTATTGACTTTATATAGGGTCTTCAATATCTGTATTTTCAAAATTTAACTTACTAAAGAAAATATTCTCTATGCACTATTGAAATTGTCTGATCACCCATATATTGATAAAATTAACTGATTCATAAAATCTGTAAAATTATCACACAAAACTGTGTTTTAAAATATTTGTGAGCTAGTATAACATATAAATAATTAAATGCCCTGAAAAAGGCACAAACACAGCATCTCTTAGATAAACATCATCATAGAAATGTATAGAGCCTTCATAAATGTTTACAAGCCATGTGACCGCCGAGCTTAGGCAACCCAACATTGTCCAATTGGTACTGGTAATGAAAATTCCCTAGATCTTGGCATCACCAATATTATGACTTGTTTACAATGACCAATAACAATCCGTTACATCTTTGCTTGAGATCATGCGATCGCTTATTCGTTGAATAGTATCTCGTGAAAAATTACATCAATCGCCAGCCCATGAAACAAAAAGTTGTGTTTTAATATAATCTTGATCTTATTTTCTTAATCCCCTTAAATTTTATAGCAAACATGAAGGATATAAAATTACTGTTCTAAACAAAATTGCTGGCCCTGTGGCTTGAAAACATTTATGAAGGCTCTGTATGAAGACAAAATTAATTATAGAAAAGATAAAGTACATTTTGGAAGATTTTTTCAGCAGAGTGGGTATTTTATAGGAGCATATTTATTCTCCTGTTATAATCCTCATATTAGTTCAAATATATAAGAAAATATGTTACGTCCTAAAAATTAAACTAACATGATGGGTACTGACAACCGATGGATTTAGTAAAACTTATTTAGACTATGAAATGCATAGCAAGTTATCTTGAAAAATAAATATTCTCAGTATTAAATTTATAACCAGGTATATGTATTATAATAATTACAAAGTGAAATTAAGTGTTAAAATGAATTTCTATACAAAAGAAATTAAGTTAGAATACTAAACATTGATACAATAAATTCAAACTTGATGAATTACAGTTTATTTGTTAAACTTACCTAGATATCCTAAAACTCCAGTAAACCAATCCCAAATAAACATTTTTTCTAAAAGATGAAATACACAATTAAAATCTGGAAATATGGGTAACCTTGGGCAAGCACTGTGACTTGTGACTCAGCTGTTTTCTGTCTAAATAAAACCCACGACGAACAAAGCCAATAATCTTAATTAACACTATATTAAACTGATATGTGCTATAAACTTTTCTAAAACATATAAAACAAATTATAATACTGTTCTTTTGCGCATTTAAAGTCAATGACAACATGACAATTTTGACGTTCTTACTACAACAGTTGTCTCATTTTAACAGAAATGTATGATATTTTTAAAGATAAATTATAACTTACATTTCTTAGTATTTATATAAAATTTACACACTGCTGTGAAATGTATTTATTCTTCAAATGTGGAATGGAAAAATGAATGAGAAACACGGAGACGTTTGTTGGCACTTGAAAGGTGATGTGACACTTTCGGGTAAAAGAACTATGTTGCCAACATTGTAGAATTTGTAACTTAAAATATCACTAACGATGGGTAAAGACGTAAAGGTAAAAAGCATTTTATATGAATGAATTACGAAAGTACAGAGTACAATCAGTTTTGCGATATGAATAACATAGCATTTAGGTTCACCTAAAAATATGAAAAAAAATTTAAATGTAGGTGCAGTAAATGTTTTATTACTTTTATTTACTTTATACCATTTAAATTGTACCTTACAAGGTGAAACAGAGGAATTTTTATTACTGTGTTTATTGATTACTGAATTAAATTTGTTTTCAGCAAAAATAATCAATATTCTCTAGACAGTCATTTGATAGAATGTATTTAACAAAGTGAAAATTGATAAGATGAAGTGTAAAGCTAATTAAAATGTCAAAATCTCGAAATCGTAGTGTAAAAATATTGCCTCATGATTTTTCAAGTCTAATACAGAAATTTAGTGAAGACAATAAAGAAATGAAAAATCGAAATCTGGATTACTTTGGAGAAAATATTCAAGATGTTAATATTCAATCACCGTATACACCGCTATTTACTGAAATTCCTCAAAGTTTTTCTGCTACCTCTAATAGTGAAATAGACAGTATCACTTTAGATTTAAATAAGCTAAGTGGTTTAAGTTCATCAAGTTCGCTGAGTTGGAGTGATGAATATGAATCAGAAATTTCACAGAAAGTATTGAATGAATTAGAAAGAATGGATCGAGTTTTGAGGCGAGAAGAACCAATTCCTTTACATTATGATAAAGATGAATATGAACAGTGGATGAACACATTCCCTAATATAAGGTAAGTATATACCTATGAACGTATATTTTTAAAACAGATTGTGATTTATATATATTTATATTTATTTATACATGTATTTCCAAATATAAAATATTTTCAAGGCACTTTACAGTACACTTAAATATTTTGCATATTGTTACAATTTTTCTGCGTATCTGTTGCACTGCTAATTTATTTAGAACCTGGTAACAGAGTAGAATAATGTAGAATAGTAGCATTGTATAAGTAAATATTTACTTATACAATGGCAGAAGTCATAACATAACAATAAGTATGAAAATTGATGTAAAAATCTAGGTTATGCTTTCAATATGTATGTTTTGATTTGATGCCACAGATAACAGAATTAACGGAACACTTTTCCTTTCTCTATAGGTGCGTTTTGTTGGATCAATCCCAGATTTATTGGATTCTTTAGAATGACATTTATCAATAAAACGATTCGAATCAAATCTGACAATAAACAGATGCTGTCAGGGTTGCCAGATTTTTTTTTAACCTAGTAGCCAAACCAAAATTGAAAGTAGCCCAAAATAGCCTGACATCTAATAACAAAAACCGTTATTTATAATTTTTATACATTTGAAGTTTAAAACCATTCAGGTTTGAGTTTGTTCTGTGAGTCTGGGGATAACCCTTTTCTAGTGGTATGTGGACAACCCTGAGAAATAGAGTAACTGTTTGTTGTTCTCGGGTAAGGGTAAGAATACAACCCACAGAACATATAATGCATACAAGTACAACTATGGCCGTAATAATCTAGTAGCTGCAACATGGGAAAAATTTGAGCTCACTTTGATCTTGACATATGTAATTTAGCTACTACTCAACAGATGGCAGCAATAAGTACTAAAGAACTAGATTTAAATTCAAAAATAATTCTCTGACAATAAATAAATACTTCATCTCTGGAATAATTACTTAACTAAGGTAAATATATATATGATTATAAAACTAGATTATTTTGGTACAACTGACAACAAGCAACAACTTTACTATTAGCACAGATTACTCTTCTACTATCTACACGTTACTTATAAAATAACCAATTTATTCTAAGATTCTACAATACAGAAATGGGTATATAAAATATAAAAAATAAGTCGAATAAAATGTTTTATTCCAAAAAATAGACTTAACAGTCTTGAGTAAAAATAGAATTTATATAAATATACTATTCTAACATTCGATTTGTACAGATTGCCGACACTGGTAAAAACTCGAAATAGCCCAAATTGGCGACTGGCTATTTTTGCTTTTTTTCGAGTAGCCGAAAGTCATCTGAGATAGCCCAGTTGGCGATAAGTAGCCCAATCTGGCAACCCTGCATTTTAATAACAAGTGAATTATTAAAGAAGAAGAAGAATTATTAAGAACAGAACAACAATACACAAAAGGCTTTTTTTCGCGAGTGAATATTGGTGAATACGTCTGACTTGTAGTTACTGTTTCTATCTCTTTTAATCCTTATTTCTAAACTTGTCTAACCTGAACAGATCGCGAAAATGTATATATTCACTATTCAGTGGTGCAGCCTGTCATATGTACT